AAAACCATGCATGTATCAAATAACAGTTGGTTAGTTAAACACAAAAAATAACTTAAGATACCCATAATAAGCCTATATACATATTTATATATATGGTTTACATGGAACTCATTAACCCATTCACCCCTAAAGTCATATTTGAACCATACCAAATTAAAGACTGGGCAAGTCCAGTTTAAATATGAAGGGGTGAATACATTTTATATAATAAACAGACTGGGAAATGTTGCTCCCCTTGTTGAGTGACCATCCGTAACTTCAAAAATATCTAGAAGTTGAACATCTTGCAACAATAAAATTCACAAAAGTTTTAGTTTTCAACTTTATTTTATCAAAAAATAAAACTTGACAAAATATACCAGTATCAAATTCAAACAACATCTGGTGGAACTTTTTTCAGAGTTAATTAAGTGAGATTAACTGTTGCAGTAGAGCATATTCTTGTAGCTTCCTGAAATCACATATCAGCCCATGTTTGGTATTAAACCCAACTGTAGAATTGTAAATTGTACATAGGCCAATTAGGTAAATATTTTATTTCGAATATTTAAAACAACTCTGTCATAACATTTTTTTATTAGAAAACATTTAACCCAAATACCATGCTGAACTCAAAACAAAGATTAATGTAAATCACTTACATGTTGGGAGGTTTTCACAATATTTCATTAAGAGCTTCATTGGTGAATTCAAATAACTTATATGAGTGAATTCAATATAGGAACATCTATTTATAGACAATTAGTTATATGAAGCAATAATATTAGCAAACATTAAAGTCATTTGAATAGGGCTTATGACTCACGATAGTGAATTAAAATTATAAACAATTTACAACTGAGCTTCAAGTATCATCTATCCTCAATACAGGCAATGTTCCTGTAATATAGTGTTTTTTTCTATATCAGATATATGTGTAACGCGAAAGAGAGTACATGTGGTGGGCTTCCACCAGGAATCGACCAGCGACCCTAGACTACCTAGCGCGTGCTAGAAGGCAACCGTAATCCTAGGAACATTTAAAATCTGCCACATGTGTATGCTGTTCGACAAACAGCTTTCATCTACGGTAGATTGTTCGACTCCCACTGTACACTGTCGCTGAAGACAACATCTTTGTTGCATTCTTTGACAGGGAACTGTAACATAATTATTCCAGTCTATCTGGCTATACAAATTACAACATCAATTTGAGGGGAGGTAGCCTGTGAAATACTGCTGTCCTTTCAACCAGTCTGTAAATTCACTTCATGCTCTATAGTTTTGTCCGACTTTTTAAAATGAGTACAAAATGATCCACAGGTGTAACTTAACAAGGATTTTGTTATTTTTGTAACAGCATAAAGCAATACCTGATTTATTGATGAATGCACTTGCTTACTTTACATTTGACAGCACGACTGCATTAGCCATGTCATACTGTTTTTATCATTGTACATGTATGTAGTGTAATTATATTTTTACCATTGATATTCTCTTATTTACCTAGCTACCAACTGTACGATTATGTAGACATATCCAGGGTTTACAGATCTAGAGCAAGTAATTATTCATAGAAACTAGTTCAAAAGGTGAAAGGACAATAAAAGAATTAACAAGGGTAAAGATGTGAACAGTTTTTCTTTACATTTATATTGACTGTCTTTAAAAAGGACCTTCAATGAATTTTAAGATGCTGCTCTGGAACTTGTTTCTGTATTAAATTCTGGTCATGCATTTTGTGTTTTCTGTCAAATCAATTCCAAATGAAGCATTGTAAATCTACTGCAGTTTGTATAACTTGCAAGATATATTTTTTGTGAGATTTGTAACTTGTGAGATATATATTTTTATGTAAATTCATGATTCGAGGAAAATGCTTCTTCAAATTATTTTACCAGGATTTCAGATTATCAAATATCAACAACATATAAGTATATACGCAGAGTTCTAGCAAGATGTCTGAATTCATGTGGGAAATTCCTTGCGAATTAATATTGAAGTATATCTCTCACCCAGTAATAAATAGTTAAACCAACTAGAAGATTTTAATATTCCATTCTGTACAAGATTAGAAAGACAACTTTGTTTTGTAAGCATAACATTTATTACAATTGTGGGTTTCAAAAGTTCTCCAGAAAAAAATAATCAATATTGATTCATATTTTATTCTTATAATACCTGATTATAAGAAAATGGAATGTGACATGAAAAAAGAAGAAATAGCAAAAAGAATGTACAACATGAAAAAATAGAAAACTAGGCTACTGGCCATAGGTTCTATGTGTATAATATTGATAGCACATGTACAATTTAAAGGGATATTTATAATATGATAGCACTTATAGTTGGTATAATTACAATGTACATCTACTCCAATACTTTTACACTCAATAAGTACGTATACCCAGGGCACTTACAATTTAGGAAAATTAGAATAAATGCACAACTCTCCAAAAGTCTCAAAAAATACCGGTACCCATAAAGCACCTTTTTCCAAATAAGTTGGTAAATCATGCTTGAACCCAATAAATGATAAGGACACTGAAAACCAACTTCCTGGGGATTATTAGGTTTAATATGACACACTGATACATAAAGGTTCCCAAACGAGTGATGGTTGGCTACCATGTTTATCTAAATTGAGTTAGTTAATTTTCAAATTGTATAACGACACAAGGTTAATAGAGTGTCTTTTACAATTTGAAAACTAACAAATGAGAGTTAGATGAAGATGATAACCACAATCACAAGTTTGGGGACCTCTTCCTCCCTCAACGCTAAGATAATATATCTCGTAAAATGAAATGGTTTCCTTGAAAATGGAATATGTCTGTTTCTGATTGGGTAAACTATTGCCATAAATAATGACATCACAATTGAAGATGACGACGCAAAGCATTATTATGTGACGTCATAAGTTAAAGGTCGCCCAACAGAAGAATGTCCACAGAGTTACCTACAAGTAGGTAACCAAAACCAAAAAAAGTTTACCAACTCCTAGCAGGTTTATTTACTGAGTCAGGAGCAAGGAAACGTCTTGTGGTTGTGGGAGAAAGCTGGTTGTACAACCAGACTGGAGTCGTTACAACATGTTATATATACCACATTGTCAGCCTAGTGTATCATCCCAGATCTAGTTAACATATTACAACATGTTATATATACAACATTGTCAGCCTAGTGTATCATCACAGATCTAGTTAACCTATTACAACATGTTATATATACCACTTTATCAGTCTAGTGTATCATCACAGATCTAGTTAACCTATTACAACATGTTATATATACCACTTTATCAGTCTAGTGTATCATCACAGATCTAGTTAACCGATTACAACATGTTATATATACCACATTGTCAGTCTAGTGTATCATCGCAGATCTAGTTAACATATTACAACATGTTATATATACCACATTGTCGGTCTAGTGTATCATCACAGATCTAGTTAACATATTACAACATGTTATATATACCACATTGTCAGTCTAGTGTATCATCCCAGATCTAGTTAACATATTACAACATGTTATATATACACCACATTGTCAGTCTAGTGTATCATCACAGATCTAGTTAACATATTACAACAGTCAAGGAAAGAAACAGCCAAACAAAATCTTACAAACAAATATGTGAATTATGTAATCAAGTCCACACCAAAAGACCAAACAAAAAGGACAAATTAGCTACAGGACCATACAAATAAGTACAAGCCACCTATAAACATGTACAACGACAGATCCCAGACGGATCTTGGCACCCACCATCATAAGATCTTCTTTGGTGCTATGTAAGACTGATCTTTTGTCTTCTTTTCCCTTATTTTTTCTTATCTGTTTGATTGAGTAATGAAAACAGTAAATGCACTTTTCATGAAACCTTCATACTGATATGTATGGCATTATACTTCTAAAGTGAGATTGTTTACTAACAAAGTACTTATTGCGAAACAAGGGGAATCTACATGTGAAATTTGAGAAAGATCCCTCCTTTCCTTTTTCAGAAATACATGTAACACTAACAAATCTAACTCTTAAAATTCAAGATCAGTCCTATAATTTGATATTAACTAGGGACTGTAAGGAATCTTCATGTCAAGTTTGTGAAAGATCCTTCCTAAACTTTAGGAAAAATAGCATTTACAAACTTTAACTCTCAAATTCAAAATGGCTGACTGTCGGCCATCTTGACTTTCCTATCAGTATATATTTGAAGTTTGAGAAAGAGCAATAACAAACTTAACCTCAAATTTCAAGATAGCTGCCTGTTGGCCATGCTGGTTTTCCATCATTCCCGAAGTTTGATATGTACATCTATGAACAATGGCAAATTAAACCTACAGGTGAAGTTTGAGAAAGATACCTCCTGTACTTTTTTCTACTCTGAGATACAGAACTAACAATACTTGTTTAAGGACAGACATACCACGGACAAAAGGTGATTTGAACAGCCTTTCATCAGATGATGGTGGGCTAAAAAGAACAAGCAAGCTGTAAGACCGTACAAAGCACAACAAGTTAGCTACTGCATAAGACTGTACAAAGCATTACAAGCTAGCTATGCAACTGTGTGGTACAAGGTGTAAAAACAAAAGCACAAATCAGCTACAAGTCTGCATGAAATATTACACCTTAACTACAAGACTAAACCAAAAAGTACAATTATATATATAAATGAATATATCCCAAAAATGAAGCACTTTCAATTATATATTTCAAGATTATTCCAAATTAAACAACAAGGAAATTTCTTGTTCAATAACACATATCTAACCCCATGTCACTGACTTATATTAAATGTCTCCATTTAGAGAGCCAACCAACACTGAGCACTTGTCGGAGATTCATTAAATGTAAACAGATCAAATTCATCTCAACACTTGACATGTGTACCACTATAACATATCTTTTTTTCTTCTTCTGCAAATTGTTTTTAAAAGCTACCAGTTACTGGTAGTAATACCTGACAGCAAAGAGTGACAGAAGCAGGATACAATGCACATACNGGGGGGAGAGACTACACTGTGTACACACAAGCTGTATCCCCTATAGTTTTAAGCTTGGGTAAGGGAGGCTACTCTGTTTCTGTTCACAAATACTGTACCCCTGTAGCACAGGGTACACTATTCTGACACCAATTCTGTTTATTGAGGTATCCCTCTATAACAGAGGGTGGGGGGCGGAGGGAACAGTGTTCTGACAGAGGGTCGTAACCCATCACTTGGCTGTATCTCATTAGCACTAGACAGAATAGAAACCGCATCCAAGGACTTCATTGCCAGTTTCTGTTCACGAATTGAGGTTAGGACAGAGTAAGGTGGGGCAGGATGGGGCAAAATGGAGGCACTAGCTCTGATTGGACAATTATTGACCCTAGCATGAACCACAGACTTTCCACTGAACGAAGGTTCAGATACGGGTGAAGTTGTGAAGTTTGATGTGGGCGAGGCTATCATGTGGCAGGCAGGTGGAGCTATCACATTGGATGTGGGTGGGTCTATACGCATGATTTTTGATGTAGAAGAGGCTTTGACAGGAGATTTATGTAGAGTCTGAGCATGAGACTGAACCTTTGGTGAGGCTGACATTGGAGGGAGAAGAAACGAAACGAATGTTTCTTTTCTGGTTTTTGACTTTAAATACGGTGTTGAAGTTTTGTATTTATACTTGGCAAGGATTCCTTTATGTTTGGGAAGAGATTTAGGGAATGGTGATGTCAGCGTTGGGGAGTCTAAACAGCCGTCAATGAACCCACTGTCGTCAATATTGACAACACAACCTACAGACACTGGGGTGGTCATTTTTACGATCTGCTGGGGCAAAGTGACTACTTTCTTTATCTTATCTGCAGAAGGACTGTCATCTCCTAGACCTGCCAAGGCAGTGTCAGACATACTAGGCAAGGTGTCTGTCTCAGTTTGTGTTGATTTATCTGTATTTTCCAATGTCATTTCTGAATGGAATATGTTATCAGACGAAACTTTCAAACATGGTGAAAGATTGAAATGCATTTGGTTTTCGGATTCACTCTTCAAGAGTGTCTCACTAGCATGAATGTTAGGATTGCTGTCAAATACAGGTTGGGACTGGTAAGAATAAGGGATATCATGTTCGGAATTTTTCCTGACCTCTATATCTAAGTAGCGAGATTGGCACTCACTCTTCACAGACTCTGTATTGAATCTATCTTTAACAAAAGGGCCAAATGTTGAGAAAAGTGGCACATATGCTGGAAATGGCCTTGGGAGGGAGTCACTTGAATCAAGCAGTTTGGAAGAGCAGGGAATTATCTCCTCAGAAGATACAAGATGAGTTTGGGTAGAGTAGGGAATTACATCCTCAGTAGATATAGGATTGGTTTGGGTAGGGAAGGGAATGACATCCCAAGAAGATATAGGATTGGTTTGGGTAGAGTAGGGAATGACATCCTCAGGAGATATAGGATTGGTTTGGGTAGGGTAGGGAATGGCATCCGTGGCATATACAGGATGGGTTTGGGTAGGGTAGGGAATGACATCCCAAGTAGAAATAGGATTGGTTTGGGTAGGGCAGGGAACTACATCCTCAGTAGATACAGGATGGGTTTGGGTAGGGCAGGGAATGACATCCTCAGTAGATACAGGATGGGATTGGGTAGGGCCGGGAATGACATCCTCAGTATATATAGGATGGGTTTGGGTAGGGGAGGGAATGACATCCTCAGTAGATACAGGATGGGTTTGGGTAGGGTAGGGAATGACATCCTCAGTAGATACAGGATTGATTTGGGTAGGGTAGGGAACTACATCATCAATAGACAAAGGATTGGTTTGGGTAGGGCAGGGAACTACATCCTCAGTAGATACAGGATGGGTTTGGGTAGGGTAGGGAATGATATCCTCAGTAGATACAGGATTGGTTTGGGTAGGGCAGGGAATGACATCCTCAGTAGATACAGGATGGGTTTGGGTAGGGCAGGACACTACATCCTCAGTAGATACAGGATTGGTTTGGGTAGGGCAGGGAATGATATCCTCAGTAGATATAGGATTGGATTGGGTAGGGCAGGACACTACATCCTCAGTAGATACAGGATTGGTTTGGGTAGGGCAGGGAATGATATCCTCGATAGATAAAGGATTGGTTTGGGTAGGGTAGGGAATGATATCCTCAGTAGATACAGGATGGGTTTGGGTAGGGCAGGGAATGACATCCTCAGTAGATACAGGATTGGTTTGGGTAGGGCAGGGAACTATTTCCTCAGTAGATACAGGATGGGTTTGGGTAGGGCAGGGAATGACATCCTCAGTAGAAATAGGATTGGTTTGGGTAGGGCAGGGAATGATATCCTCAGTAGATACAGGATGGGTTTGGGTAGGGAAGGGAACTACATCCTCAGTAGATACAGGATGGGTTCGGGTAGGGTAGGGAATGACATCCTCAGTAGATACAGGATTGGTTTGGGTAGGGCAGGGAACGACATCCTCAGTATATATAGGATTGGTTTGGGTAGGGCAGGGAATGACATCCTCAGTAGAAATAGGATTGGTTTGGGTAGGGCAGGACACTACATCCTCAGTAGATATAGGATGGGTACGGGTAGGGTAGGGAATGTTATCCTCGATAGATAAAGGATGGGTTTGGGTAGAGTAGGAAACTACATCCTCAGTAGAACCAGGATGGGTTTGGGTCGGGTATGGAACTACGTCCTCAGAAGATACAGGATGGATTTTGGTAGGACAGAAAATCACGTCCTGGGTAGAATGGGTTTGTGTTGTAGGAGAGGGAACGGCACCTTCTGCAGATACAGAAAGGGTCTTTGTAGGATAGGGAATGGACTCCTCTACAGATATCGAAGGGGTTTCTGAAGGACAGGGAATAACCGCCTCTGTACAGGGAATAACCTCCTCTGAAGATAGAGAAGGGGTTTGGGTATGGCAGGAACAGAATTTATTTATGAGACTAGACTTCAATCCTGCAGGCAGTATCATACCCGATGAATATAGCTTTGATGTCTTACTGTCATCATCATCTGAACAAGTAGTAGGAGAGTTGGATGTACAACATGCTGTGGTAGACTTTGCTATGGGAGTGATAGAACATGCATACACTACATCAGCTATACTGGGACTAGACACTTCAGGCAGGTTAATGTCTACTACATTACAGGATCTACTAACCCCTTCACCGTTTCTGGCCTCTTGACCACAGCTGTTAGTAACGCTCACTACACTACTTGTGTCCGAATCACTGGTTACCTTGGTCTGGCGTTGTCTCCCTGGTTTTTCATCCATCTCTGACTGGTCAACAAAAAGAGACTTACGCCTGCTTTTTTTGTCAGGAGAAAGTTTTGAAGAGGTCAATGTCGCAATCGCCTTTCTCTTGATACACAGACGCTCTGCATCGGTCATCTTTCCAGGACTTGCTTTACCTCTAGTGCCTTTCATGGGGGAAGGCGTCCCATTCCTGTAGGACCGGGTCAACTTTGCAGGTGTTATAGCAGGTGATGTATAGCCTTGTCGTCTCTTGGAGGTGGCCTGTGACCTCTGACCTTGTCGGGAAGGAAAGCTTGCCAGCCCCCTTGCAGTCTCAGGAGTGCCAGCACATGCTCGGGCGGCCTTTCTGCTTGGTGTCACACGGCCGCTAGGTGGCATCACCTGTCCAGTTAAAAACATTAAAATTTAATTCTGTATTGTATACACTGTGTAACGTGAAATGGCTGTACTGTTCTTTACTGTATTTTAAATTATAAAACAAACTCTTTCGTTGGCACGAACTAACTATGCATGAATAAGTTTCAGTTAAGTTACATGTTATCACAATACATGTGCTATGACTTGTAGTTCGACTCTAGTTGTGAAAACCATGTACCTACCACACAGTTAAGTTCAAATTATACAGTAATCAGGATGGTTTGCAGTGCAGGGCATAACTGTTGTGTTCCTGCTTTTCATTCTCAAAAGGTGGGAATAGGTTGATAAAACTTCATCTTTTGAAAAATCTTTTAACAGCTCTTATATAAAGACAACATATCAAACTTAGCCTTGCTTATCTAAAATTAGTAAAAAATATCAGGGTGGGGACATTAAATCTAGGTAAGGAAAGTGAATCAGTTTTTGTTTTGGCCTAACAAAATTTTGTTATTATATTAAATAAATTCTGAAAAATGTGAAGAAACTACTGACAATTCCACTGCTGACATCAACCCAATGTTCAGAATTTTACAAACAATAACTCATTTTGCTTAGCTCATCAAACTTCACAATGAAAATGATGTTTGAATGAGACGGTTTTAGTACTTGAACTTTGTATTGGTTTTTCTTCCATGGCACTACACAGTAACTGGCTTTATCTTGCTAGCACCTGGCACCAGACAAAAGTTTTCAAATGTAAAACTTTAAGTCCATGAAGCTGGGGCCAGGTTATCTGAATTTGTTTGGGGCTAAATTTTTATCAAAGATCAGGTAGAATTGATAGCCTGAAATATTTTGCAAAAATATGTAGTGTGCACAAAGAAATATTCTCAGTTATAATTTGACCACCAGACTATCCTGAAATCCTCAGCAAATATGTAAATGCATAAAATATCTTTGTTCTGAAATTAGGAGTGTCTTAAATTTCAAGAAACACATGGTTGAGTTAAGTAAAATGGTAAATGATTTTTTTTCTTATGTTTAAAGCAGTAAGTCTTTCCAGGACAAAGGCTGAATAAACATCAACTGTGACTTCACAGAAATGATACAATAACTTCACAAAGGAGAAAAAAGTGAATCTTTCCTTTCAAATTAACAGTCACTTCCCTTCAGAGTTTGGGCATTCATTGAATTAGGAAAACTTGTGGCAATCTTTTAACAAGGTTTGAAAAAGTCACACTGGGAATGAGTAAAAATTTCGGCATCGTTTTTGCTATGTGGAAAATCTGTGGATACATATGCCATTACTTACCAAAGGTGCCGGTGAATCCGCCACCTCATCAGGTACGTTACTACAGCTAGTACTGCTGGAGGACGGGGAACTCTCGCGCACAAAAACACGACTTCGATTGGGAGGAGTTGGTGGCAGGCTAGTGTCGCCCTCATCTCGGGAGAAGTTAAAGAAGTCCAAATGTGGAGGAAGGACTGGTTTTCCTGTTAACAAGAAGAATTCATAAACTATAAAATCTGTGAATTAATGATAAATCAAAAGTTGAATTTCTGAATTTTAATGGTGAACCAATTGCAAGTGAACATTCATTATATACATATATATGTAGAATGTGACCACAAAAATTCTATGGCCTTCACATGTTATTAAGGCAGTGTCTTCCAAGAAATTTGAAAAAAATCATGACATCTTGACTTTTTATATCAAAGCAGCTTTCTAAGAGCAACATGTGGAATCCCATTTTATTAGCAACACGTGGAATCCCATTTTATTAGCAACATGTGGAATCCCATTTTATTATTGTTAAAGACTTTGGACAGGAATTATTCCATATCAAGATGGGAAGACAATGTAGGAGAATGGCACCACACTGGTAAAATCAGCCTGGACTGAACACAGGCCTGATTAACATAACCCAACACACAGACTCAACTAGGAATGGGTACAGAAATAATGAAATGTTGTGTACCAGGTTTACCTCTCAGACAGAGGAAAGTAAGGAAATCTTCTGTCTTGGCTCGTTTGGGAAAGACTTTGATGGGTGAAGAGGTCTTGCTGCTTTGTTTGACTGGCGTATGCTGTGAGGGCACCATTGTGTTACCATAGGCATGCATCTGAGCAAACTTCCTCTGAGCCCTAACCTTTGTCCTCCTGAAGGAACACACTCATGTTATTATAGAAAGACTGTTATCAAATTAGATAATCATATACAGATTTGAATCTCATTTGTGTTATTTTAAATAACAGTATGTAAATTTTTGTTGTTGACGATGCTGAACAGTTGAAATTAAAATTTTATAAGACAACATTAACTCATTCACCCCTGAAATTTCATAATGAACTATTCCAACCTTTGAATTGGAAGAGTTCAAATGTGTCTTCAGTGGTGAATGAGTTAAACTGATACGACATCAGTTTTATAATATCAAATTTACGCTGGATCTTAATGTGTATTTTTCTCTCACTCCAAAGTGGTTTTTGACATGGATACAAAATTAGAATTTTATAACCTTCCATATGCAGTATCTTTTTAACTCAATTTAGAAATGTTACAGATAATATTTTACTCCACAATTTTAATTAATACCTTCACCATAATTTATTAATCTTAAAAAATGTGTTTTAATATGACTATTTTTTTTTATAGAAAATAATTGTTTATTATGAACTTATTCATATATATATTCCACATTTGAACTGAAAAAAGATTTCATGAAAATTGATTTTTAGAAAACCTCTGTCGAAATTGATTTTGCCTGTAATAAATAAGTTAAGTTCATACCCTTTTAGGTCATCATTGGAACAGCTGGTGGTCGATGACCGCATCGAGTCCTGGCTACTCTCGTCTCCTCCGATGCTGTGCTGAGACTTAAGTCTTTTGTCTGAGGGTGGAGGCAGAGTGGGACTACGCATCGACATGTTGGACTTTACAGGTGCCACAGGCTTACTGGATCTGGGAGACTGACGCCTTGGCAAAACTCGGGCTAGAAGGTTCCGTCTTGGTATACTGTTTGAAGGTACCAATGGGGAGTCTAGATCTAGCTCTGATTTGAGGGTGAGTTTTTTAGTCTCTTGTAAAGAAGCATATAATGCCTTGTTTAATTCCCGCTCCTCGCGCCATGACAGACCTGCAGTCAAGTCCTGTAGAAAGACAAGGTTGGTAGTTGTTGTTCTTGGAATATACACAAATTCAAAGACAGTCAAAATATCATCTTTGATCAGCTTAGGATGAGATATTATCCAGATGCAGATTATACCTTTTGGAATGACTTGTATAATTGATTTTACCAACTTTGTATGACAGATATTTTGGTCCAATATTAATCAGAAGTAAGAAAGTAAAATGAAATAATGTTCTTATCAAATTACTTATAAGTGAGAAAGAATATAAAGTTCTACATACCGGTATACTGATCATAATAAAAAAAAAATAGTGATACATGTACACATATATTGTCCGTACCAAGTTTTTGGGTGAAATATTCCTTCGCAATCTCTGGGCCAGGGCAGGCTCTCCTGGAGTCTTCCTTGAGGAACAACCCGGTGTGGGTGGCTTTTTGCCAACCATGATGTTGGAACTCAAACCAAGTCACACTGAAGTCAGGATTAGCCAAATCCTAAGGAGTCCAATCTGTAAGAGAAGGGAAAACAGATAATCCTAGTTTGAAACTTTACTAAGGCCTATAAAACACATCTCTGTGTCCAGTAAATACTACCTACCTTAGATTTGGCCTTAACTCTGCAAATTTGAAGAAAGCAATGAGTCTATATATCATCGTGTTACAACAATGCTTAAAATTCTGAAACCGACCAGCTGGCTGAACTGACATACCGCATGTGATCAAACAGTCAGCTGATCTGAAAATTCGTCAAAAAACTACAGCAGACAGGAGCAACCATAGTTACTGGTAGGTGTATCACTATGGAACTTGAAAGGATGCACTCTAACTTTGAGAATCCCCCGAGCTCAGGCACATTTTGTGTACAGGTTAATAATATTTTAATACATAACTTGAGAAAATAGCCATCTCTCATTTATCAACATATATATAGGTCAGTCATAAACTACAATTCAAACATTGTCTCTGGTTTGTTCAAAATTTGATAAACTTCATACAACCTCTTTCTATCATGATCCCCATTCATTACAATGTAAAAGGAAAGATAAAGATGGGAATATTTTAAGGTAATAGGATTGTCGCCATTTCTCAGTAGAATTTATTCAAATTTTGTAGATATATTGCTTTGTAGTAAGGAAAGTTTTCTGCCACAAAAAAAATATAGGTTGTCAGAATTTTAAGGATTTTAAAAGGAAATTTATGTAAAAAGGAGTGAATTTTGAAAAAAAAATGAAACACAATTGTGTGCAAAATAATGTCAATAAAAATGATACTAACATAGATTAGTATTGCATTACTGTATATCAATTTCACAAATGCTGAAATTGTGTAAAATGAATTATCTATAAACAATTAAAGATTGACATTTTATAAAAAAACATATACACATAGTAATTGCATGCAAGAGTTATCGTTCTTGAAAAACTTCACAGTAGTGAAATAGGTAGCCGGTTTCTGAAGTACAGAAAAATGGACATATGTGACTCATTGATTAAAAAACAACTGAATTAATGCCTGGCTTGCTTTGCAATACTTTAATATTGAAAGAACACACTGTTCTGTCAATAATAAGCATACAATATACATCACTTTAATATTAAACATTAGATTATGCGGAAATTGTGATACTGTCTCCCTACATTGGATTTTCAACTAGGGATGTACTTCCTATTTCCGTTTAGCAATACACTCCTATGACCTAAGCTCAGATTCACTCACTAACATATGCATGATTTTAAATGGCTCAAACTGTAAACAGACTTCTGACAGCAGCAATCATGAATGTTGCATACCTCAGACAGTAAATGTGCCAATTTTATGTAGTTACTATTTGAGAATATATTTATGATTTATCTGTAGCTGTTCTACATGAATATGTGGGAGTAATTATGAAGCAGGACCCTCCAAGTGCTAGGTGGGGTTCATCCCAATATATCTTAACCTCCAAGCATCCGGTGATCTGTTCGTTTAGGTGTTAGGTTGTTTTGCCCTAAAAATATTTTTAAGATGATTTTTTTTAGTCCTATTCATTGTGTATATATAGTCTAATTTGAGGTTTCTAGGTCACCCTTAGCTTTCTGTGTTATAAGAATCCTTAGATTTGTATGTGGTCGACCAGACCTGCACATACAGAAATGTTTTCGACAAGACAATTGCTCGTGAAACCATCGACATAGATCTAATTCTGTGATGAAACATGATAATCTCTGCGGTTGGAGTCAGAATCTTTGTTGTGTGTCCCAAAATCTTGTACTGTGACCTACGGAAACAGATGCTTTGGGAGGGTTTCGGCTACGTTGTGGAATAGCTTACCATCTGCTATTAGGAAGTAAAATACCCTGGCCAAGTTCAAGAGGGACATAAAAACTCACCTCTTCTTGTCTGCATTTTAGAATCTTTGCAAAGATGTCATGTAAATACCACCCTTTTATTTGTTCAATTATGTGCACATTACTTGTTAAATGTATGAAAGTGATTGCAAGCCTTTGTTGTTTGTTTTCACAATTATAACCATTACTATTATCCATTAAAGCGCCTAAGAGTAATTTTACAAATTATATTGGGCGATATATAAATGTTGTATATTATTATTATAATAATAAGATTTTTTGAAATAATTAAAAACAACTTAACTGATATTCATAACTTTAAATTATATAATTATATTTTAGCGAAACAACCTTGTGCAAACTGGATTTAGGGCGAAACGACCCGTAGTGCGAACGGGATATAGGGCGAAAAGACCCGGACCCGTCCACTTATGACGATGACCAAGGCTACCGGGTTGTCTATGTTTTAAATGTAATATATTGGGGTGAAAATTAAAGGACCTACAATTGTTAATGTAAACATTGTAAGTCTTTCCCAAAGCTCTCCAGAAAGCAATACCAGATATCTAGGTTCGTCCCCATTTCATAAACGAACAACTCTTGTCCAACCGTTTGGAACGCAATAAACGAAAACGGCCATTTAACGTACTGATCTGATGTAGACCAAGTAATCAGATATCTCCCTCTATACCTAAGCTGTCTGCCTCTGCTGATTTTTTTCTATAGATTTTTAATGGGAGCCTTCCAACAAATTATTACAACTTTTTAAAATGATGCGATTATGTCCTTTAAGGAGCAAACACAATCTGAAAAGTTTTAGAAGCCATGCATGCTAAACGTCACGACACCCCCTGCCGGTATTCACTTTCTCAAAACTGCATCAAAACCCTAAGATAATTGGTGCACGTATGCACCCATTACATATCAGTATTTATGCATACTAACATTGTGATCCTGGTTGCCTATTTTGAGAGTTAATATGTAATGAAATGCAAAGACATACCAGTGAAATGTACAACTTACCATCAACACTCTTTGTTCCTGTTGTTTACAATTTGCATGTGTTTCCGGTTTAAGGAAGCGAATAACATTTTCATAAAAAAAACCAATACATTTCATGTTTCATTTTTAGTCCCTTTGACGATTCATTTTATATTTTTGTCCTTATGATACAAAGTGTGATACTATTTTTGTCAAGATATGGAATACAAGTTATTGTTTTTCGGTAGTTTGCGTCATTTCTGCAGCACTATCCAAGATGGTGGAGAGAAGTCGATCGATGCCGGCTTTGAGGAAGATGATGTGGATTTTGTGGTTGCCTTTGCTTGGATACATTGTCCAAGCGAAACAGAACGACGAGTTTAATGAAGAATTGTTCATCAAACCATTTGGGAGTGGTCATGTCATGTTTCATTTCCAATTCACAACAAAATGGAATGTCAGCATCGCTGATGAAACTGCATGTATGTTAGCTGGTTTTTTGTTGGTTATAAATCTACTTCTTTCTACATGATTCCGTCCATCAGCGATGATGATCGGAATGATTTGAATGCACAGATGCGTGGGATGAGTCTAAACAGCCAATAGATCGACACTTTGAAAGTAAAAGTTGTATTATAATGTTAGTGTTGAACAGGTCCAGAAGAGTTAGGTGACCAGTTTCTGTGCCCTAACGGCCTAAGGCGGAAATGCAGAATAACAATGTTGTTTGCGTTGTTTACTATCAATTATCAATCTTTACTCTTACAAGGACAATTTTCTTGCAACCGCTTTCTTTAACTCCTCCACAGGTCCAGTATCGTGCAAATTCAGCTATTAATTATCTACAAGGACCTCTCATAGCTAATCCTATAAAATATCCACTTAATCTCGTATGATTTAGGCCTATAGCTGCATTGAGACTTTGAAAGTAAAAGTCCAACTTGAGGCATACGTTTACTAAGATTTCAGTTTTATTAAAAATAAAGCAATGTGTCATAAATCATACAGTGAAAAATCCTTTTACCTTTTCACCATAACAATGCCATTTTCCTTTAAATGCCAATATGGGACATTCTGTTTATTACTTTAAGAAAGACACTTGAAAATGATTTCAAAAGTGCCAATTCTGAATGTTTGTCAACAGTGATTTTTTTGCAGTTTTACTACCAAATACAGGCTGGTTCCACTAGCTAAAAAGTGCCTTATTTTCAAAATATTGCCAAAAACTGAGGAATATATTACCAATTCTAATACAAATAATGCTATATATATTTCCCCTATTCATAAAGGAACAGGCTGTTGTAAAATTAAGGTAGCAAAAACAGTAGTCAATACAATGTACATGTACAGCTATTACCAGCATATGCTTTTATTATAACTCAATCGGCACTGGACCTTTACAATTGTAAAGGAAATGGACTGGGTCGATCAACCAGTTAGCTTCATTGATTAGAATGTCCTTCTAGAGCTTGGCGGTCCGTAGTTTGAATCCCGTTCTAGCCATTGCATTTTCCCTTACCTGTTCAGTTACACAATAACAACTAAAGGGTTGTGGCCAAGAGTGTTGGGGGGGGGGGGGGGGGGGGAGGAGAATGTTCACAAAATTTGTTTTTCATTTTTCAGTTTTCTGTGTCATAAAAATGATGCCTCCTATTCGATTTGCATCAAATTACAAGATTTTTTTTCTCCATCTTTCCTATCATTCTGATATATAACCAGCCCTTTAAATGTTCATTTACAGTCACCCATTACCGCCTCTTCCCCAAGTCTCTGGGAGAGGTGATGTCCACCTATGGGGTCCAGGAACTGCACCTTAGTCAGACACAGGGTCTGTGGAGGTACAGAAACTGGGGCTACCCTCCCGAAGATGCCCCACCGGGAGCCGAACTTTGGACATGGTTCCAATCTAACAGAAACAGGTGATTGTTGTCAGGGTAAATTAAGTGAAATCTAAATCAGTAATTCTGGGACTTTGACTCAAGTTATTTTGGAAGTCTTCAATTTCACATTACATTTACTAACATTCCTTTTTTTAATATTACAATAATTGTCAATATGATACTTAGTCGTGTATCCATATTCCATGTATTCTATAATACCTGAACAGATAAGCTGTAAATCACATTTTAATCTAATTATTTTTTGTGTAACAGATCAGATCAAGCTACTCGTGACAAGTTATGGTCAAACTACGTAAACGCTCTGTCAGGACTCTTTTGTTCCTCCCTGAACTTCATGGACAGCAAAGCAACGGTCAGTCCACGATGGACATTCCGGCCACAGGGAATATCCTCAGAGTATTACTCAATGGACTCGAGAAACCTCAAGTACTCGGCTCTGCCCAGAGAGATTGTTTGTACAGAGAACCTTACACCCTGGAAGAAGCTCCTACCATGTGATTCAAAGGTATCAACCATTTAACAATGTGATAAGCAATCAAACGATTCTTAGAGCCATATTTTATATCATCTTCTCCTTGTGGTTGCAAGAGAGTGTAGTACAAAATGTTCAACTTACTAGTATGTACAATATTATTGATCAAAATAGAAAAAGGAGTCATCTATAACTTCTACTTCAAAAAGCTGTTAAATGACTGTTTACTGTTAACAGGTTGGACTTTCAACATTGTTCAATGCCATCAAGTTACACGATTCATCATACCAGTCCATAGGGTTACATGTGAGGCCTATCTGTAGGGTAAGTTATAGCTGTAATATAGTACATGTGAGGCCTATCTGTAGGGTAAGTTATAGCTGTTATACAGTACATGTGAGTCCTATCTGTAGGGTAAGTTATAGCTGTTACACAGTACATGTGAGGCCTATCTGTAGGGTTAGTTATAACTGTTATACAGTACATGTGAGGCCTATCTGTAGTGTAAGTTATAACAGTTATACAGTACATGTGAGGCCTATCTGTAGTGTAAGTTATAACAGTTATACAGTCCATGTGAGGCCTATCTGTAGGGTAAGTTAAAGCTGTTATACAGTACATGTGAGGCCTATATGTAGGGTTAGTTATAACAGTTATACAGTACATGTGCGGCCTATCTGTAGGGTCAGTTATAGCTGTTATACAGTACATGTGAGGCATATCTGTAGGGTAAGTTATAACAGTTATAAAGTACATGTGAGGCCTATCTGTAGGGTAATTTATAGCTGTTATACAGTACATGTAAGGCCTATCTGTAGTGTAAGTTATAGCTGTTATACAGTACATGTTAGGCCTATCTGTAGGGTAAGTTATAGCTGTAATATAGTACATGTGAGGACTATCTGTAGGGTAAGTTATAGCTGTTATACAGTATATGTGAGGCCTATCTGTAGGGTAAGTTATGGCTGTTATACAGTACATGTGAGGCCTATCTGGAGGGTAAGTTATAGCTGTTATACAGTACATTTGAGGCCTATCTGTAGGGTAAGTTATAGCTGTAATATAGTACATGTGAGGACTATCTGTAGGGTAAGTTATAGCTGTTATACAGTACATGTGAGGCCTATCTTTAGGGTAAGTTATAGCTATTATACAGTACATGTGAGGCCTATCTGTAGGGTAAGTTATAGCTGTTATACAGTACATGTGAGGCCTATCTGTAGGGTAAGTTATAGCTGTTATACAGTACATGTGAGGCCTATCTGTAGGGTAAGTTATAGCTGTTATACAGTACATGTGAGGCCTATCTGTAGGGTAAGTTATAGCTGTTATACAGTACATGTGAGGCCTATCTGTAGGGTAAGTTATAGCTGTTATACAGTACATGTGAGGCCTATCTGTAGGGTAAGTTATAGCTGTTATACAGTACATGTGAGGCCTATCTGTAGGGTAAGTTATAGCTGTTATACAGTACATGTGAGGCCTATCTGTAGGGTAAGTTATAGCTGTTATACAGTACATGTGAGGCCTATCTGTAGGGTAAGTTATAGCTGTTATACAGTACATGTGAGGCCTATCTGTAGGGTAAGTTATAGCTGTTATACAGTACATGTGAGGCCTATCTGTAGGGTAAGTTATAGCTGTTATACAGTACATGTGAGGCCTATCTGTAGGGTAAGTTATAGCTGTTATACAGTACATGTGAGGCCTATCTGTAGGGTAAGTTATAGCTGTTATACAGTACATGTGAGGCCTATCTGTAGGGTAAGTTATAGCTGTTATACAGTACATGTGAGGCCTATCTGTAGGGTAAGTTATAGCTGTTATACAGTACATGTGAGGCCTATCTGTAGGGTAAGTTATAGCTGTTATACAGTACATGTGAGGCCTATCTGTAGGGTAAGTTAAAGCTGTTATACAGTACATGTGAGGCCTATATGTAGGGTAAGTTATAACAGTTTTACAAAGGTCAGTGTTCTAGTTAATAATAATTTATACAACATTTGATATAGTGCCCTATCTAGCTAACATAAACCACTCTAAAGCGCTTTACTGTACATAGATATACAATACATACAATTAGCATACATTAATCAAAACAATTTTGAGGAATTGCAGGAGCTGCCTTATCAGGCTCTAATTACTAGTCCTTTGCCACCTGGCTAATATCTCCCTATGAGTGTATGCATGTGTGTGTGCTGGAGATGTGATGTGTTCTGTTTGTCACTACAGACCGTGCTTCCAACGGTATCATGTATAGTGCCACCTCACTTATATTCTACAATACAGATACCGCAACATTCAACCCAGACCAATTTATACTCCACCTTGGTTGTTGGAATTGTGTGGGCACATTCTCTGAATATCTATGCGTACAACAACTTTGGGGATAGAACCTAGGCCGTCTGTGTGGAAGGCCAATCTGCCCATATAGTTGTTATACAATTCTATGTACCTGGTAGCAAAAGCTCTTACAACTTCATATCATGTAAGAAAAACTTTTTAAAACATTTTGCAATTCAACTACACCAGACCATTAGGTTGCGCTGTATCTTTGTGTATATTAATCGGCTGTAATTCATCAGTTGTCTGCTGTGAATAAAAAATATCGTTTGTATAGTTTGTTTGGATTAGGCTTTATCTAGTATACAGGTAATCTCTCATAATCATTGAACTGTTCCAGGATACAGCGTGTACCCTTTCATCAGTGGAGCTGAAGCAAACACTGACTGTGGTGTTTGACCCTACTACTGGCAAACTGGGACAACAGAGTAAGTAATGTATGATAGTTTGTAGGTTTATATCTATATATAAGTATTGTGTTTGACCCCACACTGGCAGACTGTGACAACAGAGGAAGCAATGTATGATAGTTTGTAGGTTTATATCTATATATCGGTAAGTATGGTGTTTGACCCCACTACGGGCAGACTGTGACAACAGAGTAAGCAATGTATGATAGTTTGCAGGTTTATATCTATATATAAGTATGGTGTTTGACCCCAGTACTGGCAGACTGGGACAACAGAGTAAGTAACACATGATCTTTGTAGGTTTATATGTATATAAAATTCTGGTTTTTACCCCAGTATGTAGATTGACAGAGTAAGTAACATATGATAGTACATGAATCTATATATACATGTACAATGTAAATGTTGTATTTTTAGGTCACCTGAGCTTTGCTCAAGTGACCTACATGTATTCTAATCGCTTTCCGTCCGTCGTCGTCCGTCGTGCGTAAACTTTTTACATTTTCAACTTCTTCTCAAGAACCAGTGGATGGATTTTTTTATCAAACTTGGTCAGAATCATCCTTGGTAGATGAGGCTACAAAATTGTAAAATTGGAATTCTTACCCCAAACCCTGGGGCCAGGGCGTGGCCCCAAAGGGAAAATTAACCAATATTTCAAAAATCTTCTTCTCCAGACTCAGAGGTACTACAGTCATTTTCTCTGCATGGAAAGAAAGATCATCAGGGGCTTAACTTAAATTGTAAATTTAAGGACCCCCGAGCTATTCGTTCTCCCTTGGGGAGGGGGTTAAGTTTACCATAGTTTATATAGGGAAATAACACTTTTGGGTATATTTTGACAACTTTCTGTAGGAAATTATTTTTACTTGGTGAGAATTATCCTAGGAGGAAGATGGTTTCAAATTGTAAAATTGAAATTCCTACCCCAACCCTAGGGGCCAGGGCGGGGCCCCAAAGGGAAAATTAACCAATATTTCCAACATTTTCTCTTCCAGACTCAGAGGTTCTCCATTCATTTTCTCAGCATGGAAAGAAAATCATCAGGTGCTTTATTTAAATCGTAAATTTCAGGACCCCCGAGCTATCCGTTCTCCCTTGGGGAGGGGGTAAAGTTTACTATAGTTTATATAGGGAAATAACACTTTTGGGTATATTTTATCCATTTTTAGCAGAAAATTACTCAAACTTAGTCAGAATCATCTTTGGTGAATGAGAGTATTACTTTGTAAAATTGGGATTCCTGCCCCCTCCCCAGGGGCTAGGGCTGGGCCCCAAAGGGAACATTTACCAATATTTTCAAATTCTTATCCTTTGATGACATGACAAGTATTGTATTGCACTTAGTTTACATGCTGATTTCCACATCACATCTAAACAATAAAATAAAGCTACCAGTACCTATGATATAACTCAGGTGACCGCTAAGGCCCTTGGGCCTCTTGTTAATCTTTTATACAGATAATTATCTTGTTGCATGTTTATACTATAGAAAATCAAAGACCCTGTGGAATTATGATATCATTACTGATGACACTTACAAAAAAGACAATAATGGTAAAAGTTTGAACTCTGATGTGCTGGTACACACAAGTCAGAACTCTGGGTTTAGGGTAGTGAGATCATTACAGTACTTGTTTATCTTCGTGGTGGAATCATCACTTGTTAACTTGACAGAATTGATACTTTATATGAGTACGTAATTTACATGTAAAGTGTACAAATAAAAATCCACATAAAGTGTTGAACTTGTTGAAATGAGATAAAGTTTTTGAAAAATGAGAAAGAAAATGTTTCACATATTCTTTCGATACTCTACAGCGTGGAGTCTGAGCAGCATGTTTGGTAAACCGTTACGTTCCCAGTGTCCTCTGGCCTCCAGGAGTCATGTATATGTGGACATCACAGACAAGGATGTAAGTGATACATGTAGTGTGTGGTTTCCTGGCTGCTTTTTAAAGTGTATGTCATGAAATTTAGAAGATTGGAATTTGTCATATAATTGGTGTTCATGTAAATTAGTGATTTGAAACACTGACAAAATTTGTCAAAAATAATATGAAAAATAAAGTGATATGCATTACTGTAAAAATGGAAATGCTTGTGTTTTTTCTGTTGGATAAATTAGCATGAAAATATCCACACATGAAAGTATATTTATACATCATATTTGTTATAGAGTACAATTATACATCATATTTGTTATAGAGTATATTTATACATCATATTTGTTATAGAGTACATTTATACATCATATTTGTTATAGAGTATATTTATACTTCATATTTGTTATAGAGTACATTTATACATCATATTTGTTATAGAGTACATTTATACATCATATTTGTTATAAAGTACATTTATACATCATTTTTATTATAGAGTACATTTATACATCATATTTGTTATAGAGTATATTTATTTCGTAACCATTGCCAACACAATACTTTCCACACTCAGTTCATGAAGTCACAATGCAAACATTTCCACATGCAAGAATTTCCACTTTTACAACGTTATACATACCACTTGAAAATTCATACACTGTTTAACTTTCTGTTCGACATTTTTTTGAATGGTTTAGTATGGTTGTCATCATTCCATGGTAAAATTCACAATTTATAAAAATAGAATTGCGCAGAAAATGGTTTATGATCACTGTAACAGCGGTATTTCTTGCCTTGGACATACCAGTAACAAGTGTGATTATGTTCCTTGTCCATTTCACCATTAAAGCAGGGGATGGCAGGAATTTTGAGCCTTGCTCACATCCTCACCTTCTCTTTGTTACAGATCCCGGAGTCAAAGTTCACACTGCGTCAACAGCCCACTGAGGTGTTACCTATCATAAGGGGTAGCGACAGGAGGACGTACGCCGTATTTGATGTCGGGGACTTTCTAGAGCAGGACGGATTCTTAGATCTCATGGCTGACTATGAAGAGAAGGCAGCTTATAGACAGGGTTCAGAACCTTCATTGTATGCCCACAGATTTGTCACAGGTATGTAGGCCAGACTGGTACAGTGTATAGTTAACATTGTTTGTCAGACAAAGTTGTAATATTAATTACTTTAAATTAAACCATAATTTTCTGTGAATATAAAAAATGAAGCATACTGTTTAAAGTGTATGTCAAGTATGCAATTTTCAACGAAACGAAATTTGACATTTAGTTACTTCACATAAATCTTGAAATCTTATAAACATATGTGGAAGAACTTGTCCTACATTTAGTTGTTTCTACTGGTCTCTATTTCCAGGATTTGGTTTAGAGAGGGGAGGGATCACCTGTCAGATCTACAACAACCTGCATCAGAACCTCACAATTCTTTATATGGAGACCATCCCCTGGTACTTCAGGATCTACTACAACTCCCTCAGCATACAGAACCAGGGCGAAGTCATCAAACCCTGTAAGTCAGAATCACTACTTACCATAAACTTACTGTATTCATCCTAATAAATGAACCCTCCCTTTTTCTTCTTGTTCTCCATACTACGCTCATAAAATTAAATCCTGTAGGAAATTTCCTTCTGTGTCCCGTATTATAAACCACTGTATTTCTTCCAGTAATAGCAATCCAGCCTTACATATCATGAAAATAAACATAAATTGGGCCCTTTTGTTTTCTGTTTCATTTTCATTTAAGTCTAATGATCTCCAAACTACACCATTATCTAATAATGTAAGACAGTGTTTGTTGTTTTTGACAGTTAAGGTCCATTTTGTGCCAGGAAAGGATAGATTGCGACCATACCATCTTGAGGTCGTGTTCCGTCTACGGGCAAACTCTGTAACACGGATCAACCTGGCATTTGACCGTGCTTTCCTCAAGTGGACGGAGTATCCTCCAGATGCCAACCATGGTTTCTACGCCAACGCGGCAGTAATTACCACAGTGTTGCCGTACGCTCATTCCTACATTGCTGTCCAACAGAATGCCTCCTTGTTCAGAGAAAGGTAATGAAAAACAGGGAGTTTATGTGACTTTAGCCAATTTCTGGTTATCATTCATTAAAATATGTTTTTTAGGTGGTTTTTTTTACCAGTTCTTATGATGTTGCTGTTAATTACAGATAGAAATAGAAAGATATTGTGATTTGCTGGGTAAAAATATTATATGTGATAGTATTTAATAATCTTATATTTGCCATGGTGCGGCGTCCGCCGTCTGTCAATCGTCCTTCTGTCCGTCGTCCCCCCGTTTGCCGTCCATCTGTCTGGCATCAACTTTTTACTTTAAACAACTTTGTCTCAGAAACAAAAGGCCTAGGATTGTTCAAATGAGTGACCTTCATCCATTTTCAAGGTCACAGGGGTCAAATATGTTAAAACCTTTAAAACAACTTCTTCTGAATAACCAAAAGGCCTTGGGTGATGATATTTGGCCAGTAACATGCTGCGATGAAGGGCTACCAAACTTGTTCAAACGAATGACCTTGACTTTAATCCAAGGTCACCGGGATCAAATATGTTTAAGACGTTCAAAACAACTTCTTCTGAATAACCAAGAGGCATTGGGTGATGATATTTGGCCAGAAACATGCTTGGATGAATGACTACCAAGTTTGTTTGAATGAATGACCTTAACCTATATTTAAGGTCACAAGGGTCAAATATGTTTAAAACCTTTAAAAACTTCTCCTGAATACCAAGAGGCCTAGGATAATGATATTTGGCCTGTAACATTCTGCGATGAAGGGCTACCAAGTTTATTTAAATGGATTACCTTGATTAATATTCAAAGTCACAGGGGTCAAATATGTTAAAACCTTTAAAATAATTTCTTCTTGATAACCAGCAGACCTCGGATGATGATATTTGGCCAGTAACATGCTGGGATAAAGGGCTACCAAATTTGTTCAATTGAACGACCTTGACTTATATTCCAGGTCACAGGGATCAAATATGTTTAATTCCTTTAAACAACTTCTTCTGAATAACTGAAAGGCCTAGGGTGATGATATTTGGCCAGTAACATGCTGGGATGAATGGCTACCTAGTTTGTTCAAATGAATGACCTTGACTTATATTCAAGGTCACAGGGGTCAAAACCTTTAAACAACTTCTGAATAACCAAGAGGCCTAGGATGATGATATTTAGCCAGTAACATGTTGAGATTGAGGGCTACTAAGTTTGTTCAAATGAATGACCTTAACCTATATTCAAGGTCATAGGGGTCAAATTTGTTGAAAACTGTAAACAACATCTTTTTTATAACCAAAAGGACCAGGGTGATGATATTTGGCCAGTAACATACTGGGATGAAGGGTTACCAAGTTTGTTTAAATGAATTACCTTCACCCATTTGCAAGGTCACATGGGTCAAATAAGTTGAAATCTTTAAAAAGCTTCCGAATAATCTAAAGGTCCAGGGTAAAGATATTTGGCCAGAAGCATGCTCAACGTAATGTCCGTGTATTCTTTTGAATCAAACACTGATATTTTGCCTTTAGCTGTATTTTAGTCCACTTTTAAGATTACAAGTTTAAGAATAATACCAGGTGAGCGATATAGGCCCATTGGGCTTCTTGTTCTTTTTCAGCGATGTTCTTAGATATCTGTTTCAGTGATGTTGTCAAGCCTTATTTTACTTTTGACAAATTCTCTTAATTACTTATTTTGTTTTAACAGTTTCAATGACATCTCTAACCAGTTTTTCCTGCGAATCCACACAGAGAGTTTACTGATCTCCCTGCCGACACCTGACTTCAGCATGCCCTACAATGTCATCTGTCTAGCTTGCACTGTCGTAGCTATTGCCTTCGGATCCATACACAATCTCACCACCCGAATATTCAAAACTATTGATCCAAAGAAGTCCAAAAGTATCAAAGAAAAAGTGAAAGCTTTCTTCAGCAGAAAGAAAGCTGTTAAGGGAGAAGAAAATGAAACTGATGAAAAGAAATCAGAGGAAAATGATACAGACACTAAATCAGATAAAGAAACTTGTAAGACTGTGAGTGATGAGAAAGTATCATAGAGTTTGTGTAATCTAATAGAAACAAAAGCATGTGCTTATCTGAATAACTAACCAGGGAGATTTCTTGCTCATAAGCATTTATCATACTTTATTTTCTATGATAAGGAGGCATGGTAGTCCAGTGGTAGGACGCCGGGCTCATGACCGAAGGGTTGCGGGTTCGCGCCATGGCAAGGCAATATGTTGTATCTGTGAGCAAAATACTTTACTCCGCTGGTTCCAGTCTACTCAGCTGTAAATTAGTACGTGGTTGGGCAGTGCTAGAATTGTTGAATGCTAGCTGTTAACGCCGAAATGGCAGCACCGGCTGTATGCTCCCCAGGGAGTTGAGAAAGGTGTTGGCTGGTTGCAAAGGCCCTATAACCACGGATAATAATTTATGAACCGCTTTGAGATGACCTACCAACTAGGTTGTGATAAAGCAGTATATAAGAACCTGTAAGTTATTATTATTAATGTGACCGTTTCAGATTTGGTTTTTAACATTTGACACACTCCTTTGTCCACACTGTCGCTACTACTTCCTTACTAATATACCTCTGTTCCTCATGTATGTAGCATTGTGAAATTCCTTTAACTTTGTCTCAGAAACTATTATCAAATTTGTATGGTTATCTCCCACGGGATATATACCACAAAACCATGGCATCTAAGGAGAACTAATTTAGACTTAAAGATTACTGAAAGGAGGGAAATATGTCAAAAGAAAGTTTTTATCATAAAAACTGCATCAAATGAGGTACATAGCGTATTATACAAAGTTTTACCTAGAACATATAAAGATTACATCATGTGAAGAGCAATCTAGAGTAGAACTCTTACAAACGGTCATTTACTGGTGACCATTGTCAAAATGTTAAAGGCTGGAAACAATAAGAAAGATATTTCTCACCAAACATTTTTAGTGAGCCTGATTTACTAAGTGGATGACACCAAGTTCACCACAAAGTGAACTCACATAACGATGTCTGGAATCATGATTAAGGAGAAGAAAGCTTTTGAGGTAATGCAGTTAAGCACTGGATGTTGTTTTTGTTGGGTTATTCCGTCTTTACGTATTGCAGAGTTATCTTCTCTTGTGAGCAGGTATTGATTGTTATGTCATTGGTTTGTGTGAGAAAATTACGTCGTTTTCTCAAAAATTGATGACGTTCCTCTCACAAACAAATGATGTAACAATCCATACCTGCTCACAAGTGCAGATAACTCTGCAATACGAAAAGACGGAATAAGTCTGGTACATTGACAAAACATTAAGTGGACCTTGCTGTTAAATTCGGCATTAGATTTCTTGATGTCCTTCAGCTACAAGACAACAAAATTTGACTGTATAGATAGTGCAATTGAAGTTTAAATGTTTACCTGATGTTACAGGTTACATCACAAAGATGTTAGTGCTAGTGTCTGTATGTGTGTGATTATAGTCAGAATTTTATACACATTTAATATTTTTGTAAAATTGTGTTATGCTTGAAAATGTTAAAGAGAATGTCCCAGACATTTTGTTAACTGACACGGCGACACCCAGACATGAGAGAGAAGCATGTTATCTAGAAATGGCTTTCCTTGTTTTTTACAAGGTTTTGTTTTATGAAGCCAGAAACCATTAATCTGGACCCGTGTCTACCTAACTACCGGTCAATTCATGAAGCACTTTTTTCTTCATTTCATGAATAAATGTAAGGATGCTGTAGTTTTTTCTGCATCATGTACATGCGTCTAATTTTTTGACATTTAGTCTAAATTTATGTGTGTGTTTTTTTCTAAAAAAAGCTGACTTGATGGATTTCATGATACTTTCATAATGTTTTTCATTTTATTTCATATGTCAACAGTTGAGAAAGGGTTTATTTCTAATTAAGTGAAGAGGAGAGATGTTCAACATTCATTGTATTTAATGTTCTTTGTTAAGTAATAGACACAAATGCAAGGTATGATGTATTTTGTATTACTCCATGTGATGATTTTAAATAATGAGATGATAAAACATAATCATTGATAAATGAACATTTTATTGCAAAGAACAATCAGTAAAATAACAATTACTTTATCAGGGAGCTTCGGAAATCCTTTCTATACCAGACAACAGGGATGGTAGTTTCAAATGTCTTGTCCAGGGTACTAGACAACAGGGAAGAGAGTACCCAAAATTTTGTTCAGTATACTAGACAACAGGGAAGGGAGTACCCAAAATCTTGTTCCGTATACTAGACAACAGGGAAAAGATTACCCAAAATCTTGTTTAGTATACTAGACAACAGGGAAGGGAGTACCCAAAATCTTGTTCAGTATACAAGACAACAGGAAATGGAGTACCCAAAACCTTGTCCAGTATACTAGACAACATGGAAGGGAGTACCCAAAATCTTGTCCAGTATACTAGACAACAGGGAAGGGAGTACCCAAAATCTTGTTCAGTATACTAGACAACAGGGAAGGGAGTACCCAAAATCTTGTTAGTATACAAGACAACAGGGAAGGGAGTACCCAAAATCTTGTCCAGTATACTAGACAACAGGGAAGGGAGTACCCAAAATATTGTTCTGTATACTAGACAACAGGGAAGGGAGTACCCAAAATCTTGTCCAGTATACTAGACAACAGGGAAGGGAGTACCCAAAATCTTGTTCAGTATACTAGACAACAGGGAAGGGAGTACCCAAAATCTTGTTCAGTATACTAGACAACAGGGAAGGGAGTACCCAAAATCTTGTTCAGTATACTAGACAACAGGGAAGGGAGTACCCAAAATCTTGTTCAGTATACTAGACAACAGGGAAGGGAGTACCCAAAATCTTGTTCAGTATACTAGACAACAGGGAAGGGAGTACCCAAAATCTTGTTCAGTATACTAGACAACAGGGAAGGGAGTACCCAAAATCTTGTTCAGTATACTAGACAACAGGGAAGGGAGTACCCAAAATCTTGTTCAGTATACTAGACAACAGGGAAGGGAGTACCCAAAATCTTGTTCAGTATACTAGACAACAGGGAAGGGAGTACCCAAAATCTTGTTCAGTATACTAGACAACAGGGAAGGGAGTACCCAAAATCTTGTTCAGTATACTAGACAACAGGGAAGGGAGTACCCAAAATCTTGTTCAGTATACTAGACAACAGGGAAGGGAGTACCCAAAATCTTGTTCAGTATACTAGACAACAGGGAAGGGAGTACCCAAAATCTTGTTCAGTATACTAGACAACAGGGAAGGGAGTACCCAAAATCTTGTTCAGTATACTAGACAACAGGGAAGGGAGTACCCAAAATCTTGTTCAGTATACTAGACAACAGGGAAGGGAGTACCCAAAATCTTGTTCAGTATACTAGACAACAGGGAAGGGAGTACCCAAAATCTTGTCCAGTATACTAGACAACAGGGAAGGGAGTACCCAAAATCTTGTTCAGTATACTAGACAACAGGGAAGGGAGTACCCAAAATCTTGTTCAGTATACTAGACAACAGGGAAGGGAGTACCCAAAATCTTGTCCAGTATACTAGACAACAGGGAAGGGAGTACCCAAAATCTTGTTCAGTATACTAGACAACAGGGAAGGGAGTACCCAAAATCTTGTTCAGTATACTAGACAACAGGGAAGGGAGTACCCAAAATCTTGTCCAGTATACTAGACAACAGGGAAGGGAGTACCCAAAATCTTGTTCAGTATACTAGACAACAGGGAAGGGAGTACCCAAAATCTTGTTCAGTATACTAGACAACAGGGAAGGGAGTACCCAAAATCTTGTCCAGTATACTAGACAACAGGGAAGGGAGTACCCAAAATCTTGTCCAGTATACTAGACAACAGGGAAGGGAGTACCCAAAATCTTGTCCAGTATACTAGACAACAGGGAAGGGAGTACCCAAAATCTTGTCCAGTATACTAGACAACAGGGAAGGGAGTACCCAAAATCTTGTTCAGTATACTAGACAACAGGGAAGGGAGTACCCAAAATCTTGTTCAGTATACTAGACAACAGGGAAGGGAGTACCCAAAATCTTGTTCAGTATACTAGACAACAGGGAAGGGAGTACCCAAAATCTTGTTCAGTATACTAGACAACAGGGAAGGGAGTACCCAAAATCTTGTTCAGTATACTAGACAACAGGGAAGGGAGTACCCAAAATCTTGTTCAGTATACTAGACAACAGGGAAGGGAGTACCCAAAATCTTGTTCAGTATACTAGACAACAGGGAAGGGAGTACCCAAAATCTTGTTCAGTATACTAGACAACAGGGAAGGGAGTACCCAAAATCTTGTTCAGTATACTAGACAACAGGGAAGGGAGTACCCAAAATCTTGTTCAGTATACTAGACAACAGGGAAGGGAGTACCCAAAATCTTGTTCAGTATACTAGACAACAGGGAAGGGAGTACCCAAAATCTTGTTCCGTATACTAGACAACAGGGAAGGGAGTACCCAAAATCTTGTTCAGTATACTAGACAACAGGGAAGGGAGTACCCAAAATCTTGTCCAGTATACTAGACAACAGGGAAGGGAGTACCCAAAATCTTGTTCAGTATACTAGACAACAGGGAAGGGAGTACCCAAAATCTTGTCCAGTATACTAGACAACAGGGAAGGGAGTACCCAAAATCTTGTTCAGTATACTAGACAACAGGGAAGGGAGTACCCAAAATCTTGTCCAGTATACTAGACAACAGGGAAGGGAGTACCCAAAATCTTGTCCAGTATACTAGACAACAGGGAAGGGAGTACCCAAAATCTTGTCCAGTATACTAGACAACAGGGAAGGGAGTACCCAAAATCTTGTCCAGTATACTAGACAACAGGGAAGGGAGTACCCAAAATCTTGTCCAGTATACTAGACAACAGGGAAGGGAGTACCCAAAATCTTGTTCAGTATACTAGACAACAGGGAAGGGAGTACCCAAAATCTTGTTCAGTATACTAGACAACAGGGAAGGGAGTACCCAAAATCTTGTCCACTATACTAGACAACAGGGAAGGGAGTACCCAAAATCTTGTCTAGTGTATTAAACTTGTTTGTAGAGAAAGATCAGTTATGTTTCCTTGTTTTATTGTAAGATAAAAGGTCAGTATCTATTACATCACTGTCCTGAACGTGTTTTATGTGTGTTAATGCCTACAGTCATAACCACTGAACTGACTTTCTTTTTGAGAAGGAAAATCGCCAACTATTTTCACAATTCTAACCTCATTAGGGGGGTATTGTAGTGGACTTTTACAAGTTAGTTTTAGTTGGATTGCACTGTAGAAACACTTTTAC